TATATAGAACATTTCCACCACTTCAAAACGTTCCCTTGTGCCCTCTGATCTTCCCTGCCCTCCCCACATCCTGCCCACCACACACTCCAATCAGTCAACTGCTCATCTTTTTGTCACTAGAGTTTTGCCTTTTCTTTTCTTTTCTTTTCTTTTTTAAGATTTTATTTATTTATTTGACAGAGATCACAAGTAGGCAGAGAGGCAGGCAGACAGGGCCGTGGGGGGGTGGGGTGGGAAGCAGGTAATCTGCTGAGCAGAGAGCCCGGTGTGGGGCTCCATCCCAGGACCCTGCGATCATGACCTGAGCCCAAGGCAGAGGCTTTTAACCCACTGAGCCACCCAGGTGCCCTAGGGTTTTGCCTTTTCTAGAATTTCATATAAAATACATATATACAAAGTATATAACCTTTTGTATTTGAGTTCTGTCATTTAGTATAATATTTCTGAGATTCATTCATGTTGGATGTATAAAGAATTTGTTTCCGTGCTGAGCAATTTTCCATACTGTGGATTGTTTAAAAAAAAAAAAAAAAAGGAGAAGGAAGGAGAAGGACAGAAAAAGAAAACACAGACCCAAAATGGTGTTACTTAGACTAACTTCCCAAACCAGTGCTTAATTAATACATAATCTTACTGCAGTTTCAACCTCCCCTAGAAATGTATTTTAACTGAATGGGACCTCAGAGCTACTTAGAGCTTGTAGCCTGTATGTTCCCACATGGTTTGCTTTCATCTTTTAACACTTAACCCTTTTTCACTTTTCCCATCCATACCAGCCTCCTCGCCCTTTCCCATATCCAGATATGATCCTGTCTCAAAGCTTTTGTAGCTGCTGTTCTCTTTGGCTGGAATGCTTTCCCCCCAGACACCTGCATGGCTGACTCCTTCATCTCCTTCAAGTCTCTGCTTAAACAGCACTTTCTCAAAGGGCCTGTGATCTACCCTATCCAGAACTGTGACTGTGCTCTCTCCACTCCCACTGTTGTGCAACCGATCTTCAAAATTTTTCATCTTGCAAAATTGAAACTCTCCACCCAGTAAATAACTTTCCTTTTCTCCTTCCCTCCTGTTCCTGGCAATCACCATTCTAAGTTCTTCTTTTTTTTTTTTAAAGATTTTATTTATTTGACAGAGATCACAAGTAGATGGAGAGGCAGGCAGAGAGCGAGAGAGAGAGAGAGAGAGAGAGGGAAGCAGGCTCCCTGCCGAGCAGAGAGCCCGATGCAGGACTCGATCCCAAGACCCCGAGATCATGACCTGAGCCGAAGGCAGCGGCTTAACCCACTGAGCCACCCAGGCGCCCCCTACCATTCTAATTTCTATAAGTTACACTACACTAGACCCTTCATATAAGTGGAATCATAAAGTATTCGTCTTTTTGTGACTGGATTATTTCACGTGACACAATGTCCTCAAGTTCATCCATGTTGCATGTCTAAATTCCCTTTTCTTTTTTTTTTAAAGAAGCAGTGGTAAATCAGTTTATTCTTTATTTTTTAAGATTTTATTTATCTATTTGAGAGAGAGAGCGAGAGAGCATGAGGTGGGGGAGGGGCAAAAGGTGAGTGACAAGTAGAATCCCCGCTGAGCAGGGAGCCTGATGTGATGTGGGGGCTCCATGCGGGACTGGTTCCCAGGACCCTGAGATCATGACCAGAGCCAAAGTCAGACACTTAACCAAATGAGCCTCCCAGGCTTCCCCGAATTTCCTTCTCTTTAAGGCTCAATAACATTCCATTGTATGTGTATACATTTTTTCATCAATTCATCTGTCCTTGGACTGAAGCCCAATTTTTAATCTGAAGATGTAGCATGTCTTTCCACACTAGTCTTGTGTGACTCAGATTTATTTAAGCATCCCCCATATTCTGGGAAGTCCCTCGTGTTGAGTTTCCTTTTCATCCTTAAGTTTCGTTTTCCTCCCGAAATTTCGTTTTCTTCCTTTGCCGTGGGAAGCATCATCACAGATCCTCCCACCCCCATCTCCCACAGAAAGAACTCAGCCTGTTGGAAAATTTCCAGGCAACAAAAGTGGTGGGGGTGGAGGGGGGGTATTAATGTGCTCCAATGCCACTCTTCTCCCCTTACTCAATCTTCTTCTAAACCTTCTGTCCCACTTGCCTCCAGCAAACCCCAGATGCGTTGCCTTTACTATGCCTTCCCTGAACTTCCCACCTCAGAAGGCGGAACACTAGCCAGCTTCCACCAACACCCTGAAATTTCAGTGTCCCCTTAACTACTTGCCCAAGAAAAAGGGTCTTTTCCCCCAAGGAACCCTGCTCTCCTCCCAGGAATCTGGTGCCAACTCGGTACCCCGCCTCCCCCAGACACTCACACCGTACTCAGAGAGCTCTAGGTTAAGGAAAGTCACTTTCCTGCAGTCAGTTCACCTTTTCTTTCTTTCTTTCCTTCTTTCTTTTTTTTTAAAGTAGGCTCCATGCCCCGGATGCCCTAGGCTTGAACTCATTACCTGAGATTAAGAGTCACTCACTCTAGCGATGAGCCAGCCCGGTGCCCCTCCTGCAGCCACTTCAAATAGAAGTGGTATTTTTCTTTCCTAGGGATAGAGGTTTTTCTCAGGCCTGTGAAAAATGAGTAAGAGCATCTTAAACACTATGTTTAGTGGTCTACTTGAACTCACAATATAGGTAAATTCAGTTTGTTATGCAAATGTAACTCCAAAGACAAATCCTCCAATCTCAGGTTACAGGTTTAAGCTCTACCTTTGTAGAAATTCTGAGACTCTTTTCCTTGTTAATAACAGTGGTTAACAAGTCCCAAGCATATGAATGCCTTCAGACATTCTCTTTGGGGTCAGGTTTTTAAATGAGAAGGACCACAAGGTAAACAAGGTATTTCACTTGGGGAGGAAATATAAAAAAAAAAATGATGAAAGCCTCCCTTAACACTTGAATCATCAGGTGTTTTTTGTTAATAAAGACGGTGCACTTCAGCAAGGAGAAATAGACAAGTACATGTGACTTTATTTTGCATGATATCCAATAGCACAGGGGTTTGGGAAAATAACCAAGAAGCCTGGACCCAAAGATTGGCAACCACAAAGTCAAACTGTCCAACCTTAGATCATCAGCTCAGGAGTAGAGTCACCTAGAACATGTTGGCCATGTGTAGGCCAAGACTGCCCAAACAAAATACTGCAGACTGAGTGGCTTAAATAACAGAAATTTAGTTTCTCTTCTGGAGGCCAGAAGTCCATGATCAAAGTGCTAGCACAACTGATTTCTGGTAAGACCTCTCTTCCTGGCCTCCAGACAGCCACATTCTTGCTACGCTCTCACGTGGCCTTTCTGTTGTGTGTGCACGGGGAAGGAGATATTACCAAAGGGAAGTGCATCCATGCTCCTGATGCACAGTAAGCCAATGTCTGACAAAGCAGTTTCTATAGAAGCTGCTTTTAGGCAACAGGCTTGAGCGATGGAATATAGAAAAGGCCCACAGCCACCCCCTGGCTGATTCCAGACAGGCCCACCAGGTGACACAACTCAAAATATCCATACGCCCTAACTAACCAATGGGCTACTTACAACCAGGCACAGTTACCGAAAAAGGGAAAATTCCATAGGTTGCCATACCTCCTCACCTTCCCCCTTTAAAAACAGTCCCCAGCGAAATAAGTCAAGGAGAAAGACAACTATCATATGATCTCCCTGATATGAGGAAGTGGAGATGCAACAGGGGGGTTAAGAGGGTAGGAGAAGAATAAATGAAACAAGATGAGATCGGGAGGGAGACAAATCATAAGTGACTCTCAATCTCACAAAACAAACTGAGGGTTGCTGGGGGGAGGGGGGTGGGGAGAGGGTGGTTGGGTTATGGACATTGGGGAGGGTATGTGCTATGGTGAGTGCTGTGAAGTGTGTAAACCTGGCAATTCACAGACATGTACCCCTGGGGATAAAAATATATGGTTATAAAAAATAAAAAATTAAAAAAATAAAAATTAAAAATTAAAAAAAAACCGTTAAAAAAAAAAAACAGTCCCCACTGACTGCATCATTGCAGACAGCCTCTCTGCTGTCCTGTCATCCACTCCCTTGCCCCATAATCAGTAAACTTCTGTCTCCTTTGTTCTGTCTTGGGCAAATCCTTTCACTTTCCAGGCTTCCACCCAATCATCGCCCCAATTTGAAGGCTCCCATACAATGGAGAGAGACACTCAGGGTTTTGAAGCAAAGAAAGCATTATTATCAGAAAAACAGTCCAATGAGAAGGCAGAGGGCTCTTCCCAAAGCTGCCTTGCTTTGCTGAGCCTAGGAAGAGTTTGTGCATGGGGAAGGAGGTAAATACATGAAAGGAAAAAGACGAAATGGAAGGGACTCCATTTTTAAAAAGGTTCCCTTTCTGCTGTTTCTCTGCTAAGGACCATTTCCTCATGCTCTGTATTTTGCATCTGAGTAAACCAGATGTCCAAACTTAGGCCAAACCAAACCAAAGAAGCTATGTTCCCACTCCAAGGTAAGACAGGAGAGTTAATCATTCTCTAAGTTTCCTCCTAGGCCCCCAAACACCTGCTAACATCTAAGAATTGGATTCCAGTCATGTTCCAGGACACTGGTTTCAAACAAACCTCTGTCAACACAGTCATCAGTCCCCCTACCTTTGGTGATTTACGGAGTAACACCTATTGTTCACCGGATACTCACCTCCAATCCGAATCCACCTTGGATTTCCAAAGCAAAATGTACTCTGGACCCGTTTCCAATATAAACCTCTAACCCCAAGCAACAGTGTGGCTCACTTTCCCAGGTCTCCCTGAACTCCATCTGCTATACTCTTATTGCTTATACCACTCCATAAACTCTGTGCTCACTTCCTCCTGGCTTGCATTTAAATTTTTTTTTTAATTTTTATTAACATATAATGTATTATTTGCCCCAGGGGGTACAGGTTTGTGAATTGTCAAGCTTACAAACTTCACAGCACTCACCATATCACATACCCTTCCCAGTGTCCATAACCCAACCCTCCTGGCTTGCATTTGATTTCAATCCTGTGCAAAGCCAAGGACCCTCTTGGCTGGTCCTGCAGGGCCCCTCTGGGTCCTTAGACCCAGCATGCCAACATCAGGATGGTGATGCGTTTATTAAAATCTCAGAGCAGGGAAGCCTTGAAACATCCGAATGGGCGCTTTCTTCTGGACAGTAAGGTGCCATCCAGGAGTTGGTACAATCAGAGTATGTCAGATGATTTCAAGACAAATGTCATTATCTGGTTATCATCAGGTTTCTATAACCAAAGTGAGAACAGGGAGTAGGGACTGAAAAATACACAGTTAATGACTTACTATACATCGGGCTGAGAGGAACATAAAACACAATTAAGTAGAGGAACATAACAACAACAAAAAGCCCAGAATGTGCAGCTAAATTAATGATATAACTAATATAACTTTAACCTTGCATTATGCTTTCAAAAGAGGTCCAGGAACCAAGCATCCAGCCTCAGAGATCTCTGGTGCCACTTCCTATAAGGACATCAGTTCTGTTAGATTAGGCTCCTACCTGTATGACTGCATTTAGCCTTAATATACCTCCTTAAAGAGGCCAGGGGTACCTGGCTGTCTCAGTTAGTAGAGCATGCAAATTTTTTCTTAAGATTTAATTAAATTTCATTCATTCATTCATTTATTGGAGAGAGAGCACAAGCAGGGGAGTGGCAGGTAGAGGGAGAAGCAGGCTCCCCACTGAGCAAGGAGCCTGATGTGGGAATTGATCCCAGAACCCTGGGATCATGACCCGAGCTGAAAGCAGATGCTTAATGACTAAGCCACCCAGGCATCCCAAGCATGCAACTCTTGATCTTAGGGTTCTGAGTTCAAGCCCCATGTTGAGAGGAGAGCCTAAAATAAATAAATGATAGATACATGGATAGATAGATAGACAGATACATACATACATACATAGAGCAAGCCCTGTCACACTGGGGACTGGAGATTCTGGGGGGACACAATTCAGTCCATAACAATATGGGCCCACTCAGTGAGTGGCAAGAACTTTCTCAGAGACAAAGATCTTTGTGAATTCAGCTAACAGACAGTGGTATTCACTAAGGATAGTATGACATGAGTAATGAGGAATCAGACTAAACTAGTCTAGATACCAATGTCACAACAAGGAAGAAAATCAGCCCTCTCAGATGGTAAAGTTATGATATGAAGTATTATCAGGGATGCTTTCAGCCACAAATGAGGGAAAATCCAAAGCTTCAAAGCATACACACACAAAAGAGAACATCCATCTTACACTGGCCTAAAAACTAAGGAAGTTTATTGGCTCATGAATTTGGAAGTACGAAGAGAGAATGAACTCTTGAGTTAACTCAGTCAAATGGCAAATATTTTCATCAAAGATCCAAGGTCAGGGCGCCTGGGTGGCTCAGTGGGTTGAAGCCTCTGCCTTCAGCTCCGGTCTGATCCCCGGGTCCTGGGATGGAGCCCCGCGTCGGGCTCTCTGCTCAGCAGGGAGCCTGCTTCCTCCTCTGTCTCTGCCTGCCTCTCTGCTTACTTGTGATCTTTGTCTGTCAAATAAATAAAGAAAATCTTAAAAAAAATAAATAAATAAAGATCCAAAGTTTATTGGGCCTGGCTGGCTCAGTCAGTGGAATGTACAACTCTTGATCTCAGGGTTGTGGCTTTGAGTCCCGGGCTGGATGTGGAGATTACTTTAAAAAAAAAATTTTTTTTTTCTGGGGTGCGTGGGTGGCTCAGTGGGTTAAGTCTCTGCCTTTGGCTCAGGTCATGATCAGGTCATGATCTCAGGGTCCTGGGATGGAGCCCTGCTTTGGGCTCTCTGCTCAGCAGGGACCCTGCTTCCCTCTTCCCCTCTGCCTGCCTCTCTGCCTACTTGTGATATCTCTCGTCAAATAAATAAATAAAATCTTTTTAAAAAAATCTGTTTTTTAAAAGATTTTGTTTATTTATTTGACAGAGAAAGACACACACACACGGTGAGAGAGGGAACACAAACAGGGAGAGTGGGAGAGGACCCTGGGATCATGACCTGAGCTGAAGGCAGATGCTTAACAACTAAGCCACCCAGGCACCCCTTTAAAAAATATCTTCAAGGCGCCTGAGTGGCTCAGTGGGTTAAAGCCTCTGCCTTCGGCTCAGGTCATGATCTCAGCGTCCTGGGATCGAGCCCCGCATCGGGCTCTCTGCTCAGCAGAGCCTGCTTCCTCCTCTCTCTCTGCCTGCATCTCTGCCTACTTGTGATCTCTGGCTGTCAAATAAATAAATAAAATCTTTAAAAAAAAAAAGTTCAAAAAATAAAAAAATAAATCTTTAAAAAGTAAAAAATAAATAAATAAAAGGATCCATGACATGAGTGGGGTGCCTGGCTGGCTCAGTCAATAGAACATGTGACTCCTGATCTTGGGGTGATGAGTTTGAGCCCCACAGTGCACAAAGAGTTTATTTTAAAAAAAAGTATCCATGAGTTATTTTTACCTAGCGGTACCCCGTCCCTGAAGTCTGGCCACTCCCTTATGTTTTTGAGCATCCTAATCCCCAAATACATGGTCACATCACCCCAAACATTGAGCCAGTTACAGGAAGTCACAATAAGCTAAACTCTAGGTTGGGATGGCCTGACCCTGTCTATGCCTAAAAGCAACAGAACTTGTATCAAGCTCAAGTTGCAGAAAAGAACAATTATTTTTAAAGATATATTTACTTATTTGGAATAAGTTGCAGAATGAGAGGTAGAGTCAAGCAAACAGGTGAGTGGGGAGCCCAACATGAAGCTTGATCTCATAACCCTAAGAATCAGACCTAAGCCAAAACCAAGAGTCAGCTGCTGAACTGACAGCACCACCCAGGTACCCCAAGAATAATGGTTCTTCTGACAGAACTAGTTGAAATCCCAAGCACTTAATACATGTGTGTGACCCTGGGCAAGTCATTTCACCTTTCTGAACTTCAGTTCCTTCCATGTTAAATGAGCATAACAACACCTCGGGTCTTTGTTCAGAACCAATTCTCTTCTTCTTGTACAGGACCTTGCCTTCTCATACAAGAGGTAACATGTGACCCGACTGGGTCAATTATCTTTTTTTTTTTTTTTTTTTTGATAGAGAGTGAGAGAGAGCCAGAGAGGGAGCACAAGCAGAGGGGAGGGACAGAGAGAGGAGCAGACTCCCCGCTAAGCCGAGAGCCCGATGCGGGGCCCTGAGACCATGATCCGAGCCAAGAGCAGATGCCCAACTGACTGAGCCACCCAGATGCCCCTTTTTTTTTTTTATTTTTTTGGGGGAGGGTGTCAGTTACCTTAAAACACAGCAGTTGGTCCAGGAATGAACATGATCCATGCTTGCTGAAGTTATTTTGTTGGAACTAGAGGAGCAGAAGCTTTCCTTCATTTCATCTCCTCCAAGTCTCTGCTAAAATAGCACTTTCTCAAAAGGCGTATTATGACTACCTTATCCAAAATTGTGACTCTGTCCTTCTCCACTCCTCTTAAAATTTTTTCCATATCACTAACTTCTAATATGTTTGCTACTTTTTAAAAAATATTTATTTATTTATTTATTTATTTATTTGAGAGAAAGTGAGAGAGTACATGAAGGAGGGAGAGGGCAGAGGGAGAGGGAGAAGATACTTCTCACCAAGCAGGGAGCCCCACGTGGGGACCAATCCCAGGAACCTGAGATCACGACCTGAACTGAAAGCAGTTGCTTAACTGAGCCATCCAGGCGCCCCTATTTACTACTGACTGAGCCACACAGAGGGCCCATAAAAGATAATAGTTCTTGAATGAATGGATGAATGTATTTATAACCAAATAAGTCTAACTAGTATAATAGGTATGGACTGAGGTTATTATAAGGATTAGAAAATATGGATAAAAAGTAAAGCACATGTAGGATGTCTGAGTCATAGTAGGTACTCAAATATGGTAACTATTGTCATTCTGCAAGGTCTCTTTTTTCAAAGATTCCGAGACCTGGAAATGAGTTTCTTCTTTCACGAAACAGAAAAAGGTTTATGGGGATGCCTGGGTGGCTCAGTTGGTTAAGTATCTGCCTTCAACTCAGGTCATGATCCTGGGGTCACCGGATAAGACCTGCTTCGGGCTCCTTACTTGGTGGGAAGTCTGCTTCTCCCTCCAGCTTGTGCTCTCTGTTTCTCTCTCTCTGCCAAATAGATAAATAAAATCTTTTTTTTGTTGTTGTTTGTTTTATGTTTTTTTAAAGATTTTATTTATTTATTTGACAGACAGAGATCACATGTAGGCAGAGAGGCAGGCAGAGAGAGAGAGGAGAAAGCAGACTTCCCTCGGAGCAGAGAGCCAGATTCGGGCTTGATCCCAGGACCCTGGGATCATAACCTGAGCCGAAGGCAGAGGCTTTAACCCACTGAGCCACCCAGGCGCCCCTAGATAAATAAAATCTTAAAAAAAGAAAAAAAATTTTGTGGAGCACCTACCAGGAAGTGACCTTTACATATATACACATTTTGCTTTCCACGTTTTCCTTCCTGAGCATTATTTTTATCAGATGAGAAAATTAATTATTATTTATTTATTTATTTTATTTATTTATTTGACACAGAGACAGATCACAAGTAGGCAGAGAGGCAGGCAGAGAGAGAGGAGGAAGCAGGCTCCCCACTGAGCGGAGAGCCCGATGCGGGGCTCGATCCCAAGACCCTGGGATCATGACCTGAGCCGAAGACAGAGGCTTTAACCCACTGAGCCACCCAGGCGCTCCAATTATTATTTTTTTAAATAATTTTGGCTTGGTGGCACCTGGCAGGCTTAGTTGGTGGATCGTGCAACTCTCGATCTCAGTGTTGTGAGTTCAAGGCCCATGTCAGGTGTAGACCCTACTTAAAAATAAAAAATGAATTTTAGCTTGGCTTTGGGATTTGTGGCAAATGTTTTAAAAAAAAAAAAAAGAATATCTTAAGGAGGCTAGGTTCAGCGAAGGGTGAAGAGGAAGTGAAACAGAAAATGACAGCTGGCATTGAGAACCAGCAGCACTGGTTGAAGAGGAAGCTGTGGAGAGATACAAAACCACATGATTAATGCTGACAGAAATAAAATTCCCCAGCTCAGCTCGGTGGGTGGAAGGTAGCTATGTAAGGGCAGGGAAAAATCCTTGGGGATATTCAAGGTCATGAAGCAATGGGCCTTCAGTTAATGGACATTACAGATTTTTCAAGTGTGAACTATGACAAGTTTGGCATCAGAGGAGAGGTTGACCTGTCATTTCTTTCAAGGTGACCAGAGCACCAGAGGGCCTGGTAACTATTCTCATGTTGTAGAAAGGCGAGATAGAAAAAGATCACTGGGGCTGTGAGTGGACTTCACTGCCCTGGCAAACTGGAAAGCACTGAAGTTTTGGAGTCAGCTGCAAGTCTCCATTCTGTCACTTACTAGCCATGTGACCTTGAGCAAGTAACCAACAACCTTGCTCAAGATTTAGGACCCCTAGAAAAGAAGGGATAAGGAGATAAATAATAAACATGGCATTAAATGACACTCTTGGACAAACACAAAAAAAACAGAAAATTAAAGTTCTCAAAAGCAACTGCTTTGAACAAATCCAGTCGATTAAATTTAAAACCCTGCTTATATCACGTTCTACTGCCAAGGAAACCTTGCAGTCAGGGGAGATTTTCCCACAAGTCTAAAAAAATACAAGTTTTCAAGCCAGCCATTTCCAAGTTGAAATAGGCTTTCATTCATGGGCTATTCATTGTCTCTTTTACCCCTTTGTTTGGGTTTCACGAGTCTTGGCAACTCTGTTCTTTTCTCAAATTATTCTGGCACTTAAGGGTATTTTTGCTGAGCCTGGCCCTTCTGTGCAGATGGAGGGCAAGTTCCAGGCTTCATCACTTACTAGCTGTGTGACCATGAGCAAATTATTACTTATTTCTCTCTCTGTAGCTCAGTTCCTTACACCCTAGGATTGTTATGATACATACATTAATTAATATTTGTAAAGCCCAGGTGCCTGGGTGGCTCAGTGGGTTAGTCTCTGCCTTAGGCTCAGGTCATGATCCCAGGGTCCTGAACCCCCGAATGGGGCTCTCTGCTCAGCAGGGAGCCTGCTCCCCTCCATCCCGCCCACCTGCCTCTCTGCCTATTTGTGATCTCTGTCAAATAAATAAAATCTTTTTAAAAAATTTGTAAAACCCTTAGAACAATGCCTGGCATCAGAGTAAAGATCTAAGTGTATGCTAAGAATATTTTATGGGGTGACCAGCTGGCTCAGTCAGTAGAACATGCACTTGATCTCAGGATTTTGAGTTCAAGCCCCACACTGGCTGTAGAGATTGCTTTAAAAAAAAAAGATATTTTGCTCTCTACCAGACCACTAGTTCATACTGCTTAATGCTAATCTGTTTCATTCATCCTTTTTTTAAAATTACATGTTTTGTTTTGCCTTTTTAAGTTATCTCCATACCCAGAGTGAGGCTCAAACTCATGACCCCTGGGATCAAGTGTCAAATGCTCTACTAACTGAGCCAGCTAGGTGCTTATTCATCCCTTATCTCCTAGACGGGTCTATGGCTGGGTTAATGGTGTGGTGTATTGGCTTTAGTGTTGGGAGTAGTGGTCCTATTACCAGTTAACTGCACACACTAGGATTTATAGGGAAGTTTGGTCATGCCCCTGAGTGATTAAGGTGATGGGGACATGCCTCTCATTTTTATAGGCTGTTACCACCAGGTGGTAAAAATCCTTGAAAATAAGTTTTAAGTAATGTTGAAAAAGAAACAGGCCCAAAATAAAGTCACCTGTGCTAAGCCCCATATTAGCAAATCAAGACTTACTATCTAGCCTAATTGCAGTTTCAACCTTTCCCAGGACTGTGGACTTTAGTCAGTCTGGAATTTCCTGGCCAACACTGGTGAGGCAGCAGCCTGGTAGACTCCTGCCTTTCCCCCAAAGTTGGGTGATTTTGCCTAAAATTATCCTTTCTTTTGCTGTGACTTCCTTGTCTTACCCCCTTTCTGCCTTTAAAAATCTTTCATTTTGTACAGCTCCTCGGAGCTCCTTTCTCCTCACCAGATGGGATGCTGCCCTATTCATGGATCATTGAGTAAAGCCAGTTAGATCTTCAAATCTACTCAGGTGAATTTTGTTTAACAGTAATCAGATTGGCCACTTCCTTTCCTCTGGACAGGGAGTTGGAATAGGGAGAGGAGTTGAGGATTCTTTTGGAGAGAAGTCTAAAGTCTGCTTCTGTATGGAATCCTGTAGATAAGAGTTTACGGATATGTGTAAGACTGATGAATCACAGACCTGCCCTCCCCCCCCAATAATATACATTACTTAAAAAAAAAAAAAAAAAAGTTTATGGATAGGAACCCCCGGGCCCTCTAACTGCCCAGAAATACTGTAGAACCTGCAGCGCAATAAGACTACCTTCATATCAGATTTGAAATCATTCCATGGTTTTCCAGATCAGCTTCTTGCCCATTTTTCTCTAATTGAGATGATGGCCAGCCTGAGGGCCTTTTAGGTTTCTTTAAGTTTGGGGCATCTGAAACATGGCCAAGGGTATACCTGGGATACTCACTTGGAGGAAGGCACCCTCAATTTACCAGAAGAGCCCCTGCTCCGGACTGTGAGAGGATTTCCACGGGTCTTAGGTACAGTCTTTCCTCACCTCGTCCTTACTAGCACGGCCTTGGCTCTGCTTCTAGTCTCTCTCCCTTTCTGTAAACTCCCGGACCTGTAGAGGACCATTGGGCTGTCATTGCGCCTGCGCACGAGGGCCTGGTGGCTGAAGTGGCTGGGCTGCCCAGCCCCAAGGTCTAAGCTGTCAGTACGCCTGCGCGGGAGGCCAGTTGGCTGGCAGCGCTGTGCGGACTCGTCCTCAGCGACCGGCAGACAGTGCGCTTGCGCGCGGTGTAAGCGCCGCGGTTCTTGACTGTACTGTGCCGGGCTCTGGTGGTAGCCATGCAGGGAGCCAACTCGGAACAGCCCTTCAAGCGGCCCCGATGCGATGGCAGCCCAAGAACCCCTCCAAACAACCGTTCCGCGGCGGCGGAGAGGTCACCGGGCCCCGAGCTCCTCCCAGATCCCCAGCTCTGGGGCCCGGAGCAGGTGTGCCGCTTCCTAGAGCGCAGTGGCTTCGGTGATCCCCGACTACTGGACCGCTTCCGAGGTAGCAGGGCTAGAGGGCTGAGGGGCCAGGGGACGGCGACCGGAGGCGGAGGCTGAGGGCCTGAGGAGAGGGCGCCCTGGGGCAGTGAGCTGGGGGCCTCAAAGAGGTCCCGAAGCGGGGAAGGGAGACCTGCTCGGGGAGGTACCCAAGAGGTGGACCTGAGGCGCCGAGCCAGGGTTGACCTGAGGCGGAGAACGGAAACCTGAGGCGGAGAGCCCTCCTGAGCAGGGGCCCTGAAGCAGGGAAGGAAGAGCTGCGCGGGGAGGCACCCGCAGGGGTGGACCTGAGGCGGAGTGGGGGACGGGGGAGGCCCCTACGGGAGGAATGACCTGCGTCTGAGAACGGAAACCTGAGGCGGCGAGGAGAGAGCAGGCGCTGGGAGGTACAGAAGGCGCCCGGAGTGCACCCTGAGATGGAGTAAGGAGAAATGGGGCTTTTGGGGTTGGGGACCTTCTGGAAGAAAGACAGCTTTGGGGACTGTGAACTTGGGTGGGGCGCCTGGTCTGATGCTGGTGGGTTTCTTTGGAAACTTGCCACCTCAGCGCGGGATAGGCGGACTCAGTTCCTTTTCTTAGAACGTTTTCCCCCAGACCTGTGATTCAGGCACCCCGGGCTCAGGAGACCCCTCCGTGCTACTACTGCAGCTCCTTGAACACTTGCCACCTTAGAGTATGTGCTGCTGCTTTTAAGTTTCTGTTTCCTCCCATCATCTCTCAAGGCTAGGAGGGCTTTTCCTAAGGGAGAGGAAGCATGCTTTGTTAATCCCTGAATCCCCATTGCCTTACCGTAGCATCCCAGTAGGGCTCAATATGTTTGACTGTACTTGTAGAGCTTGGTAATGTTTATGTTTTGCTCTCCAAAATCCGTTTCCCTAGTTAAATCTGAGCACTGAACTTCCAGCAGCCCACAATTTGGCCACATCTCTTGGGGAGATGTGTGGGTTGTGAATTTTAAGCAACTGGCTCAAGTTCAAGTATCCATCCACTTGAAATCTACTCAACTTCCCCTAATGGATATGAAGTTTAACCTCTCTCTGTCTTATCCTCTGAAGTGTTCTATAGGAAGATGGTATCATTTACAAATTTAGTAAACTTCTGCAATTATGGGGTGGAGTCCCATTTATCTAGGGTAGGAGGAACTTTAACTATTGAAAGAGTTAAAAAATATAGATTGATGGTGTTGGGAATTGTAATTCTCTTTTCTTCTCTACCCTTTGGTTTTCCTCCACTCTGGATGGAATCTTTCTCTGAATAGCAATAGGTGGGAATGAAGTAGTTTTATATTTTATGTCTCCAAAATATGATTGACTATGTTGTTGGCTCTCTGTTTTAATGGTGTTGTTGTTGTACTCTTCTTTTTTAATTTATTTTTTATTTTTTAAAGATTTTATTTGTTTATTTGTCAGAGATCACAAGTAGGCAGCAAGGCAGGCAGAGAAAGAGAGGAGGAAGCAGGCTCCCCGCTGAGCAGAGAGCGATCCCAGGACCCTGGGACCATGACCTGAGCTGAAGGCAGAGGCTTTAACCCACTGAGCCACCCATGCGCCCCTGTTTTTCTTTTTTTAAAGATTTTATTTATTTATTTGAAAGAGAGAGAGACAGAAATAATGACAGAGATCATAAGTGGGGAGGAGAGGAAGAAGCAGGCTCCCTAGGGCTCCATCCCAGCACCCTGGGACCATGACCTGAACCGAAGCCGAGCGCTTAACCGACTGAGCCACTCAGGTGCCCCTCAGTGATGTTCTGAAGAATAATTCATCAACCATCAGAATCATCTTTTCTCTTGAGCCCACAGTCTAATACTAGTCTAATACTAGCAGAATTCGAATTCACTACATGCTTTTTTTTTTCCCTTCAAGATTTTATTCCTTTATTTGACAGAGATCACAAGTAGGCAGAGAGGCAGGCAGAGAGGAGGAAGGAGGCTTCCTGCTGAGCAGAGAAGCCCGATGCGGGGCTTGATCCTAGGGCTCTGGGATCATGACCCAAGCTGAAAGCAGAGGCTTTGCCCCTCTTTTTTTTTTTTTTTTTTTTTTAAGATTTTATTTATTTCAGAGAGAGAAAGTGCGAGTGCATGAGCAGGGGTGTGGGGTAGAGGGAGAGGGAGAAGCATACTCCTCTGCTGAGCCGGGAGTCCAACCTGGCTGGATCCCAGCATCCTGGGATCATGACCTGAGCTGAAGGCAGACTCTTAGCCAACTGAGCCACCCAGGCGCCCCTCACTACATGCTTTTAATTGGTACAAAAAAAAAACCACAAAAAACAAAAAGCAAACAAACTGACCACATGTTACAATTGTTCATTTCTTTTTTCTTTTAAAGTTCTTTATTTTTATTTTTTAATTAAACAATTTTTTTTGAAGACTCATTTATTTATTCTCAGAGAAAGAGTGCAGGGCGGGGAGAGGCAGGGAGAGGGAGAGAGAGAATCCCAAGCAGACTCCCTACTGAGCCCAGAGCTCAATTCTGGGCTCCATCCCACAGCCATGAGATCTCAATCCCATGACCCTGAGATCTCAACCAAAGCAGAAATCAAGAGTTGGACCCTCACGTAAGGTGCCATCGAGGTGCTCCAAGATTTTTTTTTTTTTTTTAAGTAATCTGTATACCTATCAGGGGCTCAAACTTAAAACCTCAAGCTCAAGAGTCATAGGTTCCACTGGCTGAGCCAGCCAGGCACCCCACAACTGCTCATTTCTTAACTGTTTGTTTTGTCTTGACCAAAGATTAGTCAGGCTTCTCTCTCTCTTAGAGGGCCCTGAACTCTTGCTTGCCGCTAAACTGGAGCAAGCACTAAGAAAGTGGAATACTCCATGATCAGCTTCTCTTGGAACCGGCTGAGCATAGCAGGATATTGTCATGTCAGACCCCAGTGGGGTCACTTCCTTCCTAAAGGTTCTGCTTGCCCCTCCTTTACCTGATAAAAAACAGCAGCACCTTCTTCTGTTTGACTTTGGAGATTTCTGAAATCTCAACATTCTCCCTATTGCAATAGTCTTTCTTTCTAATCCCTTAGTTTGGATTTATTTATTTATTTATTTTAAAAGATTTTATTTATTTATTTGTCAGAGAGAGAGAGAGGGAGTGAGCACAGGCAGACAGAGTGGCAGGCAGAAGCAGAGGGAGAAGCAGGCTCCCCGACGAGCAAGGATCCCTATGTGGGACTCGATCCCAGCTGGGATCATGACCTGAGCCGAAGGCAGCCGCTTAACCAACTGAGCCACCCAGGCGTCCCTGGATTTATTTTTATTTGGCAAAACTACTTACAAAGTGTTGGTCTCTTTCATTTTTTTTTTTTTTTAAGATTTTATTTATTTATTTGACAGAGAGAGACACAGAGGCAGAAGGAACACAAGCAGGGGGAGCCACGGAGGGAAGAGAGAGAAGCAGGCTTCTCACTGAGCCCAAGGCAGACTCTTAACCAACTGAGCCACCCTGGCAACCCTAAATAGGAAAATATTTAAAGATTGATAATAAGAGAAATGGGTAATCCAGTGGAGTTGATGGAAGTGTCTATTGGGTCAAACCATGGATTGCTTGGTAATACTTTTTTACTTAGGAAATTTCACTTGTAGGAATTTACAGATAGAATTGTACAGGTCCAAAGAAATATATTCAAGGTCATTCTTTTAACCATTGGTTATAAATAGCAAAAGTAGAAATAATCTATCCATTGATTATAGTTATATATAATAGTGATACCTAACATTTCCTCAGCATTTACTTTGTGTGAAGTACGGTTCTGTGTACTTTTCATATTTTATCTTGTAAAATCTTTACAACAACTATCATATTGGTTTAGGTATACTCATTTTAACGTATACTCATTTAGGTATCCTCATTTCTGAGCATAAGGCTCAGAAAAAAAATTGGTTAAATATACTATGGGGCATTGAATTGTAGAATATAAGGCAGCCATTAAAAATGATGTGGTTTAATAAAATTGACAGAAAAGATTTCTGTGACATCATAGGTGTGAAAAAATAAATTATAAACAACATAATTCCATTTGTGGAAAACTACATAATTGCATAGCTCAGGATCTTTTTAGAAAAATATGTCCTCAAGTGCTTGCTTCAGCAGCACATATACTAAAATTGGAACGATACAGAGAAGATTAGCATGGCCCCTGCACAAGGATGACTCAAAAAAAAAATAAGTCTTCAAGTTTATTAGTATTTTTTAATTTTAAGTTTAAAAATTAAATTTTTTTTTTTTTTAAGTGGGCTCCATGTCCTGTATGGAGCCCAATGCGGAGCTTGAACTCAGAACCCTGAGATCAAGACCTGAGCTGAGATTAAGAGTTGGATGCTAACCAACTAAGCCACCCAGGCTCCTGAAGTTTTTAGAATTTTTATTTAAGGAATCTCTACATCCAAAGTGGGGTTCAAACTCAACAACCTCAAGATCAAAAGTTGCATACTTTACTGGCTGAGCCAGCCAGGCATCTCAAATATGTCTTAAAGATTATTGAGGGTATTTTTAGAAAACCAGGATAGCACTAGAGTAAAAATACAAAATGAAATTTTACTGAACTTGAAATTGTTCTTTTTTTCCTTTTTTGTGTGTTTTAAGTAGGATGGACATAGCCTATCACAGGATTCGAACTCACAACCATGAGATCAAGAACTAAGCCAAGATCAAGAGTCTGCCACTCAACCTACTGAACCACCTAAGTGCTCCCAGGCTATGGTTTTGGCTTGACTATTCTATGAACAATAGATTTACACTTCTTTCCCACCCCCATTCCCCACCCTAAACCTCACCTGTTTGAGAAGGAAGCTGCCAATTTTGCAACTTGGAATTCCCTGCAAATAATTTTTCAAATAATTTTTAAAATTTCACTTGAGGGTCGCCTGGGTAGTGCAGTCCTTTAAGCGCTCGACTCTTGGCTTCAGCCCAAGTCTTGCTTTCAAGGTCATGACATCGAGCCCTGCCTGCATCAGGATCTGTGGAGTCTACTTGAGGCTCTCTGTCCCTCTCCCTCTGTCCCTCCTCCCTGTGCACTCACTCGAACACACACGCTCTCTCACAAATCAATCAATCAATCAATCTTTAAAAAATTTTACTTGATTTGGGGCGCCTGGGTGGCTCAGTGGGTTAAAGCCTCTGCCTTCGGCTCAAGTCATGATCCCAGAATCCTGGGATCGAGCCCCACGTCAGGCTCTCTGCTCAGCAGGAAGCCTGCTTCCTCCTCTCTCTCTGCCTGCCTCTCTGCCTACTTGTGATCTCTGTCTGTCAAATAAATTAATAAAATCTTAAAAAAAATGTTTTACTTGATTTATCAAAAAAAGCCTGTTGATATAGTTATCTAATTAAAATGAAGACTTTCCAAGTGGCAGGGGGTCCTGGCTGCTCAGTCAGTAGAGCATGTGGCTCTTAAACCTGGGGTTGTGAGTTTGAGCCCCATGTTGAGAAAAAACCTTTCCAAGTGACAAATGAAAATGTGGTACTTAGGGGCACCTGGGTGGCTCAGTTGGTTAAGTGTCTGCCTTCAGCTCAGGTCATGATCCCAGGGTCCTGGAATCGAGCCCCACATGGGGCTTCCTGCTCAATTGGGAGTCTGTTTCTGCCTCTGCCTCTGCCCTCTGCCACCTGCTCATGCTCTCTCTCTCTCTCCCATAAATAAATAAAATCTTTTTTTTTTTAGATTTTATTTATTTGTTTATTTATTTGACATAGGGAGAGAGATCACAAGTAGGCAGAGAGGCAGGTAGAGGGAGAGTGGGAAGCAGGCTCCCTGCTGACCTCATGACGTGGGCCAAAGGCAGGGGCTTAACCCACTGAGCCAACAGGCTCCCCTCATAAATAAATAAAATCTTAAAAAAAAGAAAATGGTACTTAACACAATTCATTACCTGGAGTGGGTGGTTAGTAAATGTCAATCTGAGTAAATTCTGGCAAATCTAAATTAAAAGAAGTAAAAAAGCATATGCTGTAAATATTGAAACCATTTTTTCTTTTTTCTCTTTCTTCCAAAGAAAATAAAATCACAGGTTTGACACTGCTCCATCTTAATGAGTCTGATCTTGAAAGTCTTGGAATAAGGTAAGAATGATAAAATTCACCTTGTAGCCAAGCATACTTATGACCTTTTTATTCACCTCTAAGGGACAAAGCCCATAATCTATTAACTGTCCTCATTTTAAATCTAGAGAGGGGTGGGGTTAGGGACATTGGGGAGGGTATGTGCTATGGTGAGTGTTGTGAAGTGTGTAAACTTGGCGATTCACAGACCTGTACCCCTGGGGATAAAAATATATGTTTATAAAAAATAAAAATTAAAAAATAAATCTAGAGAGTGTTTTAAAACAGAAGCCCTTGCCTGCTGGTTAACACAGTTGTTCTTGTTTTTGTCGTGCAATTCCTATGTTACTATTGCTAATGATTCCTATTTTACAAAATTTTGCTGACAAGCCTTCAAGAAGTTTCAGTGATCAACTTTTTACTCTCAAGTTCAGAATAATTGGATTATACACACCATAAAATATATAACAACTGATGGGGAGAACTGTTGGCAAGAAAAATCAAGGCTGTAGCCTATCTTGAACAAGTTTCTAGGTCTTCCTAAAGCTATCTCAAGACTGAAATGTATGCCTGGTATTAGATTTAAAGATGCAGTCGAAAGTAGTTTCATCCTTTTTTGGTTGTGTGATTTGGGACAAATAATTTAACTCTTCAGTTTCTTTTTTTTTTTCTTTTTTCTTTTCTTTTTTTTTTAAAGATTTTTTATTTATTTATTTGACAGACAGAGATCACAAGTAGGCAGAGAGGCAGGCAGAGAGAGAGAGAGGAGGAAGCAGGCTCCCTGCTGAGCAGAGAGCCTGATTCAGGGCTCGATCCCAGGTCCTTGGGATCATGACCTAAATTGAAGGCAGAGGCTTTAAACCACTGAGCCACCCAGGCGCCCCAACTCTTCAGTTTCTATACCTGTCAAATGGAAAATAATAACGAGACAATGTACATAAAGTGATTCGCATGTTGGCCCTTAATAAATTATAGATAGAGATCCCTATATAAGGTGGGGGGTTTCAGGGTCTAGATTAGTGTGGATCCACTTTAAAGATCACAGATGAGGAGCAAATATTTAAATATTCCTTAAAATGGAGACTTTGGGGTTTTTTTTGTTGTTTTTTTTTTTTTTTAGAGAATTGGCAACAGTGGTGAAATAAGGTTTTTTCCTTCTGGAATTCCATTTAGCTAAATGTTCGTAGTAACAGTAACCAAAGAATCAAAACAAAGGATTATACTGAATTACTTCCTGCACTATTGTTTAGTAGTTGATAATAGAAGCAAATTGTGAGAAAAGATAACCTTAGAACATTTTTTTTAACCTTAGGACATTTACTTGAATTTTAATAAATGTGTCCTTTGGATCAGAATCTTCAAGAGCCTCATCTTGCCTCTTTCATAATCACATTTCAGCCCACTCAGTCCCCCCAAAGTCCCCCTTACTAATTCTTTTTTTTTTTTATTTTTTATAAAGATTTTATTTATTTATTTAACAGAGAGAGAGATCACAAGTAGGCAGAGAGGCAGGCAGAGGGAGAGAGGGGGAAGCAGGCTTTCTGCTGAGCAGAGAGCCCAATGCGGGGCTCGATCTTAGGACCCTGAGATCATGACCTGAGCTGAAGGCAGAAGTATAACCCATTTAGCCACCCAGGCGCCCACTAAGGTATAATAATTGCTTACTATTTTAATTGAATTGCATTTGCTCTAAAAGAGTCTTGCTTTTAAAGAGAACCATTTACTTTGTGGACCTGGATACTACTATTTATTCAACAAATATTTATGGAGGGTCCACTGAGTGTTAGGAAGTTTTCTAGGAACTTGGGAGACATGAGTGAACAAAATAGAATTTCAGCGGAACATTATCCAGCACAGCTTGTTACCTACCTTATAACTCTGAGGTGGATTCTTCAGAACTCCTCAGGGCTGTGTTTTCCAATGCAGCAGCCACTAGCTCCATGTTTAAATTAATTAAAATTAAATTAAAGTTTCAATTCCTCACCTAGCCATATTTCAAGTGCTCAGTAGCCACTTATGACTAGTGGCTACCATGTTGGACAGGGCAGATATAGGACATTTCCATTATGGCAGAATTCTGCTGTATAAAGCTGCCTTTGATGATCCCAGTAGGACCAGTCAAAGTTGTTAACAGTAGTACAAGTTCAACCAATTTATTAATATAGCCTTGTACTCTTTTCCCCTCCTTTCCGCTTTCACCTTTCCTAGGATTCATATCCTAAAATAAATGACCTATCTGTAAGCTCTTGTCTGAGACTCTGCTTTCTAGTGGGGAACCAGTTTAGACAAGTAGTTAAATTTTCTCAAGTTTATGATCAACCATTGATTTAAAAATTTTTTTATTAACATATGTGTTAACATATGTATTTATTAACATAATGTATTTTTTGCCCAGGGATACAGGTCTGTGAATCATCAGGCTTACACTAAAAGGTTTTGCTAACAAGTAAAAAACATTGGTATATTAAATGTTCTTATCAGTTGTAAGAAATTTTAGATTTCAAAAATTATAACATACCGAAATAAAATCTTACTATAGTCTAACTATGGCCTGTGACTACTTTAAAGATTTATTTCCTTATTATTATTTTTTTTTTTTTTAGAGAGAGAGAATGCACCCGTGTGCACGACGTGGGGGTGGAAGGACCAGAAGGAAAGTTAGAGAAATAGGCTCCCCACTGAGCATGGAGCCCCACACAGGGCTAGATCTCACCAACCTGAGATTATGACCTGAGCTGAGATCATGCATGACCTGAGCTGAAATCAAGAGTTGGAGGAGGCTCAACCGACTAAGCCACCGAGGCACCCCTGCCCATGACTACTTTAAATTTTTATTTAAAGTACTGTTTATTTTGGGGTGCCTGGATGGCACAGTCGGTTTGGCCCCTAGCTCTTGATTTCAGCTCAGTCATGATCTTGGGATCTTGGATCTGGTCTATGTTGGGCTCCATGCTCAGCAGGGAGTCTGCTTGAGGGTTCTCTCCTCTCCCTCTGCCCCACCCCCCACTCACACACAGGGGCTCTCTCTCCCTCTTTCTAGAATAAATAAATAAATCTTCAAAATGTATATGTATATTACTGTATTTTGTTATAGCCTTTGTTAAAATAAAACTGCTAGGTTGGTTTTGGTTGGCTATTTTTATGTAC